TTCTTTCTTTCTTTCTTTCTTTCTTTCTTTCTTTCTTTCTTTCTTTCCTCCTTCCCTCCCTCTTCTTCCTTTCCTTTTTCTTTCTTTCCTTTCCCACCCATGCTGTATCCAATGACTTTAGGTAGCTTTCTATTGGAGATAAACGCTTCGGTTGGTAGAAGCCAGAATACTCTGGAGTTGGGCACTTGGGACATGTCATCTGACACTCCTTTCCCTTCTACAGATGACCTTAATATTGTTGGGATTGTGATTGGAGTGCTGGTGGTGCTGATCGTCCTGTCCCTGACCACAGTGGGGATCTACTGTGCCTACAGGAATGGCTTCTTCGTCCACAACAAACAAAACGGAAACAGGTACGACTTAATTGTCGAGCGCTGGGCTTATGAACCCAAAGGAAGTATGTGCACACATGGCAGGGCATGAAATTTATTTTGTGCTACTCCTACTAAGAAGGGAAAAGGAGAAACATGGCCAGTGGCAAATCACGTTATAAACAGAAGCACTCCAAAAATGTTGACTTCGTTGCTTGGAAACCTTCCCTTCCTGAACAAGTTTCTTTCTTCATCCTTCTTTGGTAGAAAAGCACTGGGTGCTGTACGGAAGTGACTAGAGAAACAGAGAAAGAAATTCAGTCTGGATAGGTGCCAAAAGAAATAGGATTGGCTGTCATTAATCCTGCGTTTCTCTAGGCAGTTTAGGGAGTGTAATAGAGAACTTAGAACAATTCTTGACCAGGGTTTTTATGTCACGTTGGTAGTGTCGGGACAGGTTTAAATGTTGGCCCTCGCAAAAGAATGAATGAATGAATGAATGAATGAATGAATGAATGAATGAATGAATGAATGAATGAAAAAAGCCAGTTTAGGGAGGATGATAGCCAAGAAAAAATCTTGACCAGGGTTTTTATGTAATTCTAACAATGTTTGGACAGGTTTAGATGTTGGCCCTTGCAAAAGAATGAATGCATGAATAGGATGGGTGGATGGATGAAGGAATGAACGAACAAACAAAAGAATGAACGAATGAACGAATGAATGAAAGTAAAAAGCCGGTTAGGGAGGATGATAGAGAGCTGAGAAAAAATCTTGACCAGGGCTTTTACGTCATTTTAACAGGGCTGATTTAATCAATCAGTCAGTGAATCAATCAATCAATCAATCAAACATACAATTTACTGCCATTGGGCAAGTAATACTCAAATTTGGAGTATACTCCAAATTTGGATACTCAAATTTTCTCTTTCCTCCGATCTCTGTTGAATGAAAGGAAATGAGACTTGTCTGTTGGACCAGCAGTCTTAAGTACCAAATCCAAAGCAACAGATGGCTTCAGAATTAGCCCTAACAGGAAACAACACACCAGGAACAGGAAAAGCATGCCAATGTCAGCGAAGAGCGATAATCGTTCTTTTTTTAAAAAATTATTCAGCTGACTCAGACATTGAAGCTGCCGGTGATCTTCCGTCTTTTCTCAGAAAAACTGAAATTGCATGGATTTCCCCTATGGATAGTCTTTGTAACTTTAGCACACAAGAGACCTCCAAATCACATGCAGGAAATCTTGATTTTAGTGTTAATTCCGTGGCTCTCAGTTGTAGCAATCCAAAGCTGAATTTATGGACAATCCCAAATCGTTGAGTTTAGCAGCAGGCAAGGTTTAGCAAATTCGCCTGGATGCCCTGTGCATATTATTATGTATATTGTGCACATTTTTACATATTTCATGGGTTTTGCTTTGATGACACATATTTTATGCATATGTAGACTCATCCTTGGTTTCAACTCATTCCCCTTTCTCCCTTAGTCCAATTAAATCAAGGGAGGTGTTTTGTTTTGTTTATTTTGGTAATTGATTTTAACACAGTAGTACCAAAGTTGAAAGGAATTGTTTAGATCGGGGATGTCCAACCTTGGCAACTTTAAGACTTGTGGGCTTCAAATCCCAGAATTAGCTGGCTGGGGAATTCTGGGAATAGAAGTCCACAGGTCTTAACGTTGCCAACCTCTGGTTTATGGCATGGAATTCAACTGATCTTTATTGGGAGAGGGGAAACTATGCCTTATTAAACCACAAAGAGTTACTTTTTACCGAATGATAAAGTGGTTATAGGTACAGATCTATCTATACATAAGAGTCTATGCACAACATTGGCGCTAGATGCGAGTTGACAGAATTCAAAAGGGGTTGGATTTAGACCATTTGTGGAAACGCAACGACTCTAGGCTGATTCCTCTCTTGACTCCACCCCCTCTTGGTCTGTCCTTCTACAGAGGAGGCGATACAGTTGTTGTGTTTAACTGATGTGCTCCAACTAAACATTGCTTTCCCTTCCCAGCTACAAGACTCCCACAAAACCAGATGGCGTGAACTATATTCACACAGATGAGGAGGTAAGGGGGTCTTCTTAGACCAACCGACTATGATAGTCTTCTCCTTCCCATCCTAAGAAAAATAGTTATGGAGCTATGCCAGAGCCCAGCATTACCAGATATTAGAATTTCATTTCCTTGCGGGGGTGGTAAATATCAGGTAGGATTTTGGATTTGATTTCCAAATTGTGTTTTGGAATATGCTGCACTTGTATGTCCATTTCTAAAAAAAAAAAAAAAAGGCACGGGATGCAGCTGCTTTAACAAGCGGCAGACAATTGCTGCATTCATGTCTCCCCTTCTCCAAAATACCTTTTGGGAATCAGATCCAAAGCATTGCTCAGCTTAACGAAGGATGCAGCTTTTCTGCCAACATTCATGAAGCACCCACTATTCCTATCCAAAATTGCTAATTAAACCCCACCTCTACTCTGGGGATGAGAATTTAGGAGTGCCCAAGGAAGGAACAAGGGCAGAGACCACCATGGTTTGGCTCAAACATTGGTCTACAGCAAGGGTCTTCAAATTTGGCAAGTTTAAGACTTGTGGACTTCAACTCCCAGAATTCCCAAGCTAACATGGCTGGAGGGAGGACTTCTGGGAGGTGAAGTCCACAAGTCTTTAAGCTGTCAAGTTTGAAGATCCCTGCTCTATAACTTAGTTTGCTTAACCGTAGATACCCAAATATGAAAAAAAGCTATCAATGGAAGAAAATATTTGTCGCTCAGGGTTAAACGTTGGGGTCCTTGGGTTTCTTGGTTGTCTTCTTGCAGATGTTTCATGACCCAACTAGGTAACTTCATCAGTGCTACAAGGGAGGGGGGGTGTTGCTCTCTGTTTATATACAAGTCCCTTCTAGCACCGATGATGTTACCTAGCTGGGTCATGAAACGTCTGCAAGCAAACAAGCTCAGAGTGTACTAAAGATCTCACAGTCCTCCTCCTTCTCTTCCTCATCCTCCCCTCTTCTTTTCCACTCCACAAAGCCCACTCACATCTGGCACTGGTGAGGTTACCTAGCTGGGTAATAAAACATCTGCAAAGGAAGCAACCAAGCTCAGAGAGCACCACAAAAAGCAGCCAGATTGAGCTCTTGCAAAATTACAAAATGCGGCCCTTTGCGTGTTCGCACAAAACGGGAAAAGTAAAAATCAAATCCATTTCAGACGGTCTGGTGCAATGGGTCAGCCCATCCAGAATTGACCAACATTCTTGGCACATCCTCCCAATGCTGGGGAAAAAAAGCCCCAAACCCCTTAGCCTCCTTGGTCATCAGCCAAACGAGCTACATCCACTGACAATTGTCGGGCGACACCTCTTGAACTCCCGTTTCTTTCCAGAAGAGTTTGGTTTAATTTGGGTAAAGCGGAGGAGAGAGGTGCGCACCCACACACCCAACCTGACCCCCTCCTTTAACAAGCTGTGTTGTGTCTTCGATGCAGGGCGACTTTAGACACAAGTCCTCCTTTGTGATCTGAAACAAGCAGAGGCCCTTCGATTTGGCCCGGTGGCGGGACCAGAAGAACCTTCCTCCCCGACGGGCAATCGCCGATGTGTGTGTGAAAACGTGTCCCTTTTTACTCCTTTCGCATTTACAAGCACGCGGGCGCAATGACCGTGGTTGGTGGGTTTTTTTAAAAACAAAACAAACTCTTTTTTTTGGTTGTTGTTGCCAAAGCCAAACTCCGTTTTTTTGTTGTTGTTTTTTAAACTGCCAAACTTCCACCTTCCAACTCCAGAAAGCGACCGTTGCCAACACCCCCAAATCTCTTTCTCTTTCTGGGAGCAAGGAGAGCATCTCTTCCATCTTTGGCAGGAGAAACCCTAACCCTAAAATCTCCCGGGTGGGGAAATCGCTCGCAAGGCCGTTCAAGGTTGCAGAGCTGCCTCTGTCTACCGCTCCACGAAAGAACGGTCAGCATCACAAACAACCTTCTGTGCCCGGCAGACTTTCGATGCCCTTTGGCAGGCCCGGTTCCGCAGGCCGAGCATCTCTTCGGGTTGCTCAGCAACAACAGACAACAACAGACGACAACACCAACGCGACAAAAGAAGCCAACCGTTTTGACTTTTTCAATCTGGTTCCTGGGACCGAAGACCGTTTTTGTTTTTTTTTCCCTACTGTTCTTCTACTTCTTCTTTCGTTTGTAGAATTCTGCAGTCTAATTATTTCTCTCTCTTTTTTTTTATTGTTGTTATTGGGGTTTTTTTGGGGGGTGGGCAAAGATGTATTTTGATTACTTTTTTTTAAGTCCTTTTTTTTGTTTTTAATTTAAAATGTAAATAGGTTGGTAGGCCAAACGGTGTTAATTGTAATAATGTAGTGACTTCACAGGGTTTTCAATTAATGCTTTCCTGTACTGATTCCAACCACATCAGTATTAACTGAGAGTGCAGCGTGGCGAAACACTTAATGGTATTTCCTTTCATGGGGTAGGTAATTTAAGATTTATTTTCCCCCCCCTGTGGAAAAATAGGGGCACAGTCGAAAGGCTTGCCCAGCTAGTACCAAGAGCATGAAGGGAAGGCATCAAATGTGTTTTGAATTATTTTGTAACCGGAAGGGAGTTTGGGAGACGACAAGTGATGCCCAAAACAGAAACCTCCAAATCATTTGAGGGGTGCTCCAAAATTACTGACTTCTGAATCTTGGATGAGCGTGGTAGGTTGTGGGATGGCTAAACTCATGCAGCGGTTTTGAAATGAAGTTTGTAGTTAAGCTGCCCCCAAATGGAGCAGACTCCATTTTCGAGCATCCCACTTCTGAAAACACTTGCCTTGTCCATTGAAGAAAAAGAGAAATGAGAAAATGAAGTGTAGTTATATCCTCAATTCTCGCTCATAAGCGAGAAGCAACTTCTAGCAATTCCCACAGCAACCATGGTCTTCTCTGTAGCAGGCGTATCTTTAACTTTGGCATATGGACTTCAACTCCCAGAATTCCCCCAGCCAGCCATGCATGGCTGGCTGGGGAATTCTGGGAGTTGAAGTCCACAGGCCTTAAAAGTTGCCAAGCTTGGATACCCTCCCCATTCTACAGCAAGGATCATAGGATTTGCTGTGATGGAAAAAGTGTCTTTTTTCTCCCCCCAAAACAGGGTTTATTTTTTAGGGGTGACTTTTTCAGCCTCCAAGTTTGTAGTCTTAATTCTTGAACAGAGACAGTATTTTTTTTTTAAAATTACCTACAAAGGCGTAGGACCAGGTTTGTTGATCTTCTGTATTAATCTGCCTTAGAATATCCGACACACTGGATCGGTTTTGCTTTCTCTCTCTTTCATTTTTAAAGGAAGTTGAGAAGTCATTGGTGCATTTTGTTTCTATTCAGTAGTTTTAAATTCCAAGGGAAATGTGGCACTAATGTTAAGGCAGGAGTGGGGGAGCTTTAAGGTGCCCCAATCCGGCCAACTGGCTTTGATTTTTAACCGTGGCTACCTCGGCATTCGACCAAAGCAAGGTGTTTTATCCACTGCCAAGATCTTTTATTTCTCCCTATCAACTTTTAAGATTGCCTTCTGGATCAAAATGGCTTTCCCTTCTGCCTTAGTATGTTCACTAACCCTTCTCCAAGGCTGCCTCTCTGACACCCAAAAGTAAGAAGAAGAAAATCCTTGAATATTTAGTGGAGAATGAAGAGTGGATACAGTACCTCTTGCCTTTGGGATAAGTCTACGCCAGAGGTGTCCAACCTTGGCTATTTTAAGACTTGTGGTCTTCAACTCCCTGAATTCTCCAGCCAGCATGACTGGCTGGGGAATTCTGGGAGTTGAAGTCCACAATTCTTAAAATGGCCATGATTGGACACCCCTAGTCTATGCTGTTACATTCCTAACCTGGATTAATAGGTATGGTTGACCACTAGGGGCAAGTTAGAAGTCCAAGAAGACTTAATCTAACAATTGGGACCATCCTCCTTTGCAAAACTGTAAGTGTTGAATGCTATAGAGCAGGTTCCAGGAATTTTGATTCTCCGTAGACTTTCAAAATTTAGTTGGCCAGCAGGAATCAGGCATCTAGGCCAGGATCTTTGGGGCCAGGATGAAGTTGAGAAGGTCAACTCAACTTGAGCTGCACCATGGTCTTCCCATTTTGCTCTCAGGTCTTGAACTCCACTGAATGGCGAATATGATCAAAGAGTAGCAGAATATGTTAGAGGAGTTATCTATGGCTAGAGAACCTAAGATCCTAGAAGGCCAGCGGTGAGTTAGGATGGCCATTGTCACACAGGATTGTTTGGCGGTGAAGAGGTTTGGGACTGTTGGGCAAAATTATTTAGCACCTACGGGGAAAATTCCTCAAGGTTTGAAATGCCAGTTTGTTGCCTGCAGAGTTTTTTCTGTAGAAACCCAAATGAGTTGGCCATTTAAAGTGGCATAATTTGTACTACAAACCTTCCATCTCTGCCAGAGTTGGCACGGGTCACCAATGTATTTATTACTTTAGTGAACAGGGGTGATGACTTTCAGATCCGAGGAAGGACTATTGGTGGCATGGGATGAGTCCATTAAAATTTCTTCCATTGAAGCTGGGTCAATTAATCCCGGTTAAATTTGTAACAGGTGCAAAATGACTTCTTAAAAAGCAGTGGTCTTATGCTGGTTAGAAACTCTTTCCAAAGAATTTAGAGTCTTTTGGGTCTCAAAAATGCACCAGTGGAATCTCTTTTAACAAACAGGTCTCTGCAAAACACATTGTAAATACCCGAATCGGTTTGTACTAATGTTATTGCATATAACTTTGCTGAGAATGTTTTACATAAATATAAATATATATAAAGTTGTCATTCTGGACAATTTTTGGGCTGGTGTGGACCCCTGCATGGGGGTACAGCTGTGGGGTTATTTTTGTTGTGAATAAAGTATAGTTATTCCTGCAGCTGCCTTCCTTCCTTCCTTCCTTCCTTCCTTCCTTCCTTCCTTCCTTCCTTCCTCCCTCCCTCCCTCCCTCCCTCCCTCCCTCCTTCCCTTCCTTTCTCTTCCCTTCCTACCTGCCTACTTAGCAATAGCACTTAGGCTTATATACTGCTTCACTGGGCTTTACAGCCCTCTAAGCAGTTTACAGAGTAAATCTGGGTCCTTATTTTAGTGACTGGGAAAGGATGGATGGCTGAGTCAACCTTGAGTCGGTCAGGATCCAACTGCTGGTGGTTGGCAGTTAGACTGCAATACTGCATCCCAACCACTGTGCCACCATGGTCCCTTCCTTCCTTCCTTCCTTCCTTCCTTCCTTCCTTCCTTCCTTCCTTCCT